ACATCTCCACATCTACCACCTCTCCTTCTTGTCCATCTGTATCCTTTTTTCCTTCTTTTACTTCCTCGCTTACCTCAACTCTTTTCTCTTTTTCCCTCTTCTTCCTCTTTTTCCTCCTCATCCTCCTTCTTTCTCTTATTCTTCTTCCTCTTATTCTTCTTCCTCTTTTTCTTCTTCTTCTTCGTCTTCCTCGGTCTTCCCTTCGGTCTCAGCAATGCATATGTATTCTATCGTTTCCTAGATGATGGAACGCACCTATCCAATAGTCCCATCCAATCTTTCAGCAAGTCTCATCGATTGGGACAGACCAGGAGAAAAGCACGAACCTACTTATTAGAAAAGCCAGGGGGTCCGCCCCTTGAGCGCTTCGCGGTCCAACCCTTTGAAGCGCTTCGTATCTGAGGCGCCGTGCGTTACGCGTCACCACTAGCGGAGAGCAAGATATAGAACAGGATATAAGACAGGAATTAGTGACGCGACTGTATGCACGAACGCAGCCCTGGACCCGGCCCGGCTGCAGCGGGTTAATACGTAGCCCGGCTGTCGAAAAAACGTTTCCACTTATCGAGATGGGCCCGGAAAATCAGTAAATCCAATGGACGACAGAGCTCATCGCAGAGTGTAGTTACGTCTCTATGTGAGAGGGGCGACGAATAAACGGGTAGTAAACGGCGAGGAAGCGGGGACGCCGTCGTTCGCGTCCGTCGCACAGTGCGTCGAGTCAATTAGTAAAATTGAACTGCGTTAAACAGAAAGGAACCAAGCCACATCAACTATTGCCAAATTTAGCAGGGCAATTTATTTTTACACATAAAAATGGTTGTGCGGATTTTTGTGAAAATTTCAGTGAATATTCTCTGTAATACAACGCAAATTCCTTAAAATTTTTACAGGAATCCGCACAAACGTTCTCTCGTAAAAAATTAAATTGCCCAGTTAAATTTGGCAATAGCTGATATGGCTCGGTTCCTTTCTGTTAAACGCGGTCCAATTGTTGTCTAAAACTGCAAATTTTGCCGTTTAATTCGTCACATTTTAAATTTTAAGGGGTATTCCTGAAACAAAATTTCATGGAAAAACCAACGGAACCACTTCTAAGACCCCAAAGTTTTGTGTAAACGGAGTTATAAGCGTCTAAAGTTTCCGAATGTTGTCCGACCTCTCCTGCCGACTCGATCCATCGTGCGACGGGGAAACAAAACCAGGGAGGAAGAGGGAGGACGGAAACGCCAAGACGCGGCTCGGGGTGGCACGGCGGGTGNTGCGGTGGGGGAGGGGGAGGGTCAGGGGATTAAAAGCGGGGGATGGGCCGCCCGGTAATCGGAGCGGAAAACGGAGCGCGGGGGGAGGGGGTACTTTTCATTACGATCACTACCGGGTCCCTCGGACAGGGACATCCACGCGGTTCCGATCCACCCCGCGCATGTTTCGTTCATTTTAATGTGTAGAAACGATCGATTTCCATCGAGGCAGCCTGTCTCGCCCTGAGCCGATTGATTGTAATGGATCGAAGGGCCGGGAGTTGATGAATATCGAGATATCGAACAAATTGGAATACTCTTTTGCGATAAGAAACCGCTATTTGGACTGCATTTTGCAATTTAGAACTATATACATCCTGGCTCTTCTGGAAAAGCACTTATGCGCATAGGGAAGCTGATGGCTTATACGTTGTTTTTAAACCGGGCTAGAATTTATAGTTCCAAATGCAAAATGCAGTCCATTTCTACCGCATTCGGAAAAACTCCTATCTCCTATGCTGTCATGCTAAGGAAAAACGCCATATAAACCTCCAGACATTGCCAAATTTCCTTTGATGAAAATGGATTTATTTTGAAAGTTGTGAACATTTTCCTTCCAATTCTCAGACAATTTTGTCCGTAATTTCATTTAAAATGTCTGAAACTTTCAAGGTGAAATATGCATAAATTCCTTCCAAAATGAATTTTTTTATCAGGGAAATTTGGCAACATTCAATCAAATGCTCAAACGGCGTTTCTCCTTAGCACGGCAATATGGGAAACTGATGACACGAATCGAGGGCCAAAATACGAAACCACGGATCTCTATTGCGGTGTTGCAAGATTCCCACTCCTGTCTTATTTCTTCGAGGAGAAACAAGCAAACTTCATATCTTCAAAATTATACAAAATATTCTGCCAATAGAAAAGGAAAATTTAGAAAGTTTTAAAAAAATCACGCTGACCGGTTTCCCAAAGAAGAAATAAAGTAAGACAGGAAGTCTGTAACGCCACAAACGGACATCGTGGTTTCGCACTTAGGCCATCGATACCCACACGCTGTCTGAGCCTCCAGTATTTTTTTTTTTTTTTTTTTTTTAAAAATTGTCGTAGTTCGCTTTAGAGATACATTACATCGATTTTCAGGATTATTACGGTTTTCGTATGGATGATTATTCTTAGATGATCTTACCAGGCTGGCTGCCCTTTCAGGCTCTAAGCTCCGTGACCTAACCTCCAAGATTACCGACATGTTCGCACTTTCTGTATGTAGGTACTCCACTGGAAGTGCAAGTTGCCGGCGTTTAGGGTTCATTAATGAGCCCAGGGACCAGCGAATCACTCGAGCCACACGCCGAGAACAGGGACTATTGACAACCATACACCCCCGTGTGTGGGTAGGATGATTGTTAAAGATGAAGGGGAGGGGAGGGGAAGATTATGAAGCTCAAAATTAATCGCTATTAGTTAGTATCTCTCTGCTTGGTGGCTGGAGCCCGTGCGATTTACGGGAGGGTGGAAGTAGGAGTGGGGGGGGGGGGGGGGGTGTTGCTTGCATCCCCCTCTGGGTTCCCACGCGACCGCGAAGCGGGGTCTATGGAAGGGTCCGCCCTTGAAGAGCCCTCCGGGCAGGGCCGTCACCAGCCGTAATGCTGTAACGTGTTGCGTCGCGCCGATTCATAACAATGGGTCTGTTGCGCACGAAAGATGCAGCCAATTGGACTGCATTTTGCAATTCGGAACTTTAAATTCCGGCCCGGTTTTAAAACAACGTATGTGTCATTAGGGTCCCTGTGCACATACGTGTTTCTTCAGATGTGCCAGAATTTATAGCTCCAAATTGCGAATGCAGTCCAATTTGAGATAGTTTTCGTGAGCGAAATTGCACAAACAGAGCTTGTTCAGGGTGTCCTTAAGTTCGGAATTTCCGGAAAATCCGGAAATAGTGTTGATTTTTTAAGGGCGGTCCGGAAGTACTGAAAAAGTGCGGAAATTCCGCGAGAGGGTCCGGAATTTCTGTCATTTACGTCGGAATCCGAGTGAGAAATTCAAGTTTTTCGAAATTTTTAGAATTCTATCAAATGAAGGTATTGAAAAAGTACTGGAATTTTCTGTCGAGGAGGTACTGAATTTCTTGGGAATGTCCTGAAGAAGTACCGTAAAAGTACTGATTTTTGGCCAGCCTGTTTTAGTAGCAGACACTCTGTTGTCTGAAAAGTTTTTACGTATCGTGGACCTGTGTTTCTGAGAGGGACGCCTCCTGGATCAATAATGTAGGTTCAGCGTAAGATTTGTGGAATACGGTCGAGTGCGTCATATCGGTTTTGAAGGGGACTTAAAATTAGAACGTTGTTTTTGGAAAAGCGTTATTTCGGGAAACAACTGGCGGGGACGTGAAAAACTGTACGCTGTTTCCGGAAAAACGTTATTTCGAGAAACGATATAACGAGATACGACTGTCCACGAGTTTTCAAAATAGACGGATTTTTATAGCTTTGATTTTTCTTGAGGTATTAGGTAAAATAGCTAACGAAGAGAAGGCATTAGCGCAGTAAGGTCTTAAATTCTTTGTTTGATGCTACTTTTACTCTCTTTCCTTTTCCCCCTCCCTCCTCTTTCCTCCCTTTTTCTCTTTTTTCCTGTTTTATTAAGGTGAATCGGTGTGCGTGGTTTTTGCAGTGTTCGAAGCACTTCGCCAAAACGAGCGAACCCGGCCAATTCTGTCCCCCTTAATTTCCCGGTGCCAACTTCGTCAACACGATCTTTCACGTCCAGGACAGCATTAATGAGCCGAAACGCACGGTTTATAGTTCGCACATAAACAAGCGATAAATTATGGCACGTTCTTACTATAAAAACTCCCGGTCATGAAGGAAAGCCCACCATTAAAAAATGATGCTGCAATCGAACCTGAAGGTCCTCCAGTAGATTCTGCTTGAGAGCGAAACACTTAATTTGGAATACTTGCATCTTGCATTCCAGTATTATTTCAGTTGCGCTATTCAAGTTTCAGCCATCAAAACACGAGTTAATGACCATCGCAACAACTGCGGTTGAGTTTATTAGTTGTATTGTGTCCCAGAGAATCTGCAAAAAGTAAACTGCAAAAATTGATGTAATGTTTTGCCTAACTGCGGGGTGGATACTGCCAGGGATACTCGCCTGGGTACTGCCAGGACTCTACCCTCGAGGATAAAGGCAGTGTCTATCTAGCATTGAGATTCGTTCAGGGCCTTTAGTGAAAGGGAAAACGCAGGAAATTTAGTTAGGCAGTATACTGTCTCACTAATTTTTTTGATTCCTTATGAGGGACAAAATAAAGAAATAGAGGGACCTTCGGAAAATCCCAAAAAACTAAAGGATTTTTTGCTCTGTACGTTGATGACGGTTGAGCATTTTAAGTTTGAACTACCTGAATAATTTTATTGTTGAATTCTTCTTTGGAAGACGCTCGAAAAGAGGACAAAGAAAGAGTGAAAGAGTGGTGACCCGGGGTTGAAAACGAAATGAGGGAGTGTCGGTTCCCATCAGTAAAGCTTTGGGAGGATAGGGATTGGTGGCGGTTAGACGTCGCAGAGCGCAGAGAGCGCTGTAAATCGGATCCAATGCACGTATTATTCATTTTCTTCTGCTAACCCATCAACACAGAACATTGGGAACTTGGAACTCATTGTTATGATAACCCCTTGATTTTTTCTTTATCTTATTTATTGTTTTTAAACATGTTTAATTTGACGGTTTTTCTTGTGTTTGTTACAGAACGTTCGGTGGGTTAAGCCTGGTGAGCGACCTGGTCCTGTCGGAGGACAGCGACGACGACGAGAAGAAAGCGCCGCCGATCCTGTCGCCGCCCTCGCCGGCCTCGCCGCCGACGCTCAACATCTCTTCGCCGCCCCTCCCGCCCTCCGTGACACCCCTCGGGCCCCTGGCCTCCCCCGGGCCCCTCGCGTCGCCCGCCTCCCCGGCACTCAAGCCCTTCCCGCCCTCCCCGGAGCCTGCCCAACTCAAGCCATTCCCGCCCTCCCCCGTGGCTAGGCCCACCCCCTCGCCTACCCCGCAGCCTAAGCAATCGTAAGTAACTTGATTTTTCTTTGCAAAAAATCGGACAGGACAATCAATCAGAGGGGCTCGAAGGACAAGGTGCATAAGTGCAGTTTTATTTCGAGAAATTCGCGTTGGAAGTTTCGAAATTGCGTGGATCCTAATGGCGGAAAGAAAGTTCATACCATTGGCGGATCCAGCAAATTGGCAACATTGTCTTTTCTCCATTTAACATATTGAAATGTATCGATTCTCGGAGAGGCCAGGTGCTCCGACAAGAATCGATTATTTAGCATAGATTTAAATGGAGGAAATCCTGTGTTGCCAAATTGCTGGATCCGCCTCTGGTTCATACTGACTTCTTGATGCTTAAAAATTAGAAGGAGCGAATACCTCACAGACTATGCATTAAGACTAATTTTACTTGAAATCCTGAATATCTCAATTTTTTCAAGAACTGCCTCTCAATCGCATTGTCCTCCAAGCCCTTTATATGTACTGGATAAGCGGAGCTAGATCATTTGCGGGGGCGGGGCTCTGAACGCCTGGCCTTCCTAGAAGTTAGTTTGATCCCCAACCTTAACCCCACTCACAGGGGGATCTTGAGTTTGTATAGAGCAACCCCTCCCACCTCCCTGTGCAAACTTGGGTGTGGGGAGTATCCCCCGGAAAAGTCTGAAAAATTGACTGCATTTTAGATACTTTTTGAGGCTGCCACGAAGTAAATTTTCATTACAAATTTTGTAGATTTTGTGATGGCAAAGAGGACGACTGACAAAACCGACTAATCGCATAACTCCATTCCTCCGTACTGACTTACTGCCATGCGGAGAAAAAACGTTGTATAAATCATCAGGCGTTGCCAAATTTCCTTTTTATCAAACTCGAATTTCTTGGTAAATTTGTGAATATTATCCTTCAAATTTTTCAGAAGATTTTGTTCTCAATTTCTTCTTGAGTTCTTGAAAATTTTATGGAAAAATATGCATAACATCTCTCAGAAATAAACATTCTATTGAAGGAAATTTGGCAATTCTTGAATGTTCTTACGGCGTTCTTCCTCAGCACGGTAGCGTAGTCTTGTATTATCTAGTCAAGTAACACAAAATTTCAGCCATTAGGCTGGAGTTTCTCATGTCCTGAAAGTTTTCCGCCTCTTTTTAAGAGTTAAAATAGAGAAGTATTAGCTGTCAATCTTCAGATTATTGAAAATATGCCTTCCCTCGGAAAGAGCATATATTCACCAAAACGCAAAGATTTCAGCAAAATGAATTTTACCCATTTGTTTCCTTGTTTGGTTTGGATTCATGAAGGAGGTACATAGACCATATTAATAGAATAATGGAAATTTGATTTGTAATATGGTTGCATCATTTTTCAGAAACTAAGGGTTGCACTAAAAGTGATCTCAGGAGCCACAGTTCCTGGAACGATCAATGTTCCCCACGATTTGTTTTTCAACTTAATTGTCTAGGTATTGCATCTATTCTTGCAGAGCGCCGAAACTGTCTCCAGCACTGATAAACCTGACCTCGTCCAGTGACGAAGAGGAAGGAGATGATTCAGCCAGTGATAGCGATTCAGAGACGGAGGACTCGAGTAGCGACGCGGTGCCTCAGCCAGCAGCGCCACCCCCTCAAGAAGAGTCCAAGGGAAGATGGAATCTCAAGAACTTCCTCCGGACTCCTGCTGCAGACAGCCCTGTCAACAAAAACCAGGTTAGCTGAGTTTTTATTCCTTCCCTCACCTCTTATTTTATTTGTTTTGTCACCAATCAGACAAATTGGTCAGGGAAAAGTCAGGGGATTTGAAGATTAGGAAATTATGGCAACCCTGGTACTGTCACATCAAATTATTCAAATGTGAATGAAATAATACCTGGATCTAAAAATTGAAGTGATGAACCTATGAAAATGTTCATATATTGGCGGAAGTTTTACCCTCTCTTTTGCATCAAAACTACTTCCACATACTCTTTGTAGGTAATACTTAAGACTGTTCTTCGTCTAAAATTATACAATATAACATAACTCATTGTTAAAATGCACTGAAGTCCTTGTAACCGATCATAATTGAGGGGCTTGGAGGACAAGATGCATAAGTGCAGTCTTTGCTATTTCGAGAAATGTGTGTTTTTAAATTTTGAAACAACATGGATTCTCATGGGGGAAAGAAAGCTCAAACTGACTTTTTGATGCTTAAAAATTGGAATTGGGGAGCGAATACTTCACAGAATATGCATTAAGACTAATTTTACTTGAATTCATTAATATCTCAATTTTTTCAATAACTGCCTTCATGCGCCTTATCCCAAGCCCCTCAATTAAATAGATTTGAACACAAAAAACAAGTATTTATCAGCATGTATTTTTTCTTCTTTTCAGGAGTCACCAACTGAGAGCAAAAAGGTGGAGGACGACTCAGAGTTGGAGCATTTGACGGAAGAGCTCAAGAAGCCTCCGATAATATCCGACCTCTCCGACTCGGACGTCAACGAGAAGAAGAAGCGTTTCACCAAGAGCCAGAAGCAAAAACACCGGCCCTCAGTAACGGCTCCAGCTGTTGACGTCTCGAGCGATGAGTACTCACCTCCTGTGCGACGCACACCAAAACAATCCGCTGCAATTCGGAAAGCGCCGCCGACACCGTCATCTCCACCATCTGATATCGACTCTGACCATAGTACAAAGTTCAATAACTCAGAGCCTGTTAAAAAAGGTGGTGGGAAGAAACGCCAGGTGAGTGTGACCAGTCAGTCAGAGGAGGAGCCGGAGAAAATCAAACCGGTCCGTAAGTCGAAGAGGAGCAGCTACAGCACGGATAGTAGTCGGCACGGGTCTGTGTCACCCGTGAAGAAGAGTCGATCCAGCAAAGCTAAGTCTCCCGTCGTTGTGAAAGAAAAGAAAAGTAAAAAGAATACTGTGTTAGCAGCCAGGGAGAAAGTTGCACCTTACTCAGGCAAGGTTGCCAAGAAGCAGCCAGCAAAGGTTGTCGTTACCTCAGAATCTGAAGAAGAGCAGGAAATCAAAGTGGAGCGCAAAAAGCGTGGACGCCCACGACTCAAACGGCCTAAAACACCCAATGACTCTGACGACTTGTACGAGTCACAGAAGAAAGTTGCAGAAAAAGGAAAGTCTCTGGAGCGAGTCAAGCGGAATGAGTCAACAGACAAGCGGACTCTGAAAAGGCGGAAAAAGCCTGTTCAACGCCGGTCGAAATCAATTTCCTGTAAATCCTCCGACAGTGATGACATCATGAGTCCTCGCTCCTCTTCGCCCATCAAACCTGCATCACGTGCCATGCCAATGCCAGCCATCTTCCGGCGATCGCCGTCCCGCGATTCGAGCTGCGACTCAAAGGCGGACTCAGATACCAGCCCGCCCAGCGTCAACCACAAGGTCGAGGAAAGTCCACCCAAGCTCGGAGACGAAGGAATAGCCAAAGACAAGAAGAAAAACGACACGTTGAGGAAATTGTTCACCATGGGCGGTGGAAAGGGTAAGGGCAAAGGGGGTGGTGGGAAAGGTGGCGGTAAAGGCAAAGGGGGCGTCATCGTTGACTATATGGATAGCGATGATCGCGTGAAACCCCCCTCCGACCGGGAAACAAGTCCACCAAACGAACGGATTCCAGCCCCGTGCGATATTAAAATCGAGGAGCCCAGAAGTCCACCGCTGATATATAATTCAGCCGGACAACCAATCATGAGGTGCTCGATTAAACTAGCCAAGATAGATCTAGCGAAATTACACCTTTTGAATAAAAGCAAGTCAGAAGATATTAGGAGAAGAACTGAGCTGGCCGATACGCGGCAGAAAGAGGCCAAAGAGGATGCCCCTTCCGTCAGAGTTGAACATATTGACAGCAAGGTAGAGTCAAGTCATAAGCATAAAGTTGGTGATAAAAAGTCCAAGGACAAGAAGGAGAGTCACAAGACAAGTAAAGCATCACTTCCTTCCGAGTTCTCACCCACTCGAGCTGCAAAGTCTGCGCTGGAGTCGAAAACAGCACTGGTGAAACCGTTCCAAAGAGAGGCGCTTTCCCCATCACCTGTGCCTCAGTGAGTATATTTTTCCTATGTTCTCTTATAGCACCAATCATTGAACAACAAAACTCTAGAAGACTGCAAAGCTTGTCTGTATGCATATCCTTTCTCTAGAACTAAGCCCAACCTCTATATATTTTTGTTGGCTCTGTAATCTCAGAGCATTCTGGTCCATTTAGATGCCAAATCCACATTGAAACTGCTGAAAGGTGTATTTCAGTTTGTGGCATTGCAGACTTCAACCCGTACTTTCCCTTATAAATGAAAAAATACTCAACATCATTCATTGCTTGTAAATTTTCTAATTTTTCTTCCTGATGTGAAGCATACTCCGAAAATTTCAAACAATAGCTTTGGGCATGAAAAAGCAATTTATCTTTGATAAAAATAAAATGTGAGCAGAGATTTTGAAACTCTGCAAAGGAGATGCACATTCCTGCAGTTTCCCCGTTGATATACTTTCCAACCAATAGCAAGAGAGTAATTTTTATGCCGGATGCTATCAATTGATGAAAAATTAACAGTAGAAAATCGCATTGATCAAAAATTTATCTGTAAAAAATAGATGCATGAAAAATTATTTCAAAGTTTTGTGTACATTATCATTTTATGATCCTTTTAGGGGTTTGCGTTTTGTTAATAACTTTGTCAATTGTTTCAGGCAACCTGTCCAACCTGTTGTGGCACAAAAACGGAAAAGAAGCATGAGTGCAAGTTCAAATTCATCGGATGAAGATGTCGGGATGAACTATTCTGAAAGAAGGAAGGCATTGCGCAGAAGACTGATGGAAGAAAATTGCTTAAGGACAGGTTACGAAAAGAAAAGAATCAACCGTCTCCTTGAGAAAGGCCTCAGCTCCGAAATTCCTAGTCTTGTAAGTAGCAAGCCTCTTAGCCTTTTGTATTTACATTACTGTTCTTTTCCTTGTATCATTTAAGCCTCTCAAGAGTATATTGAACTGTGATGGACTGGCAAACATTTTGCAAGAATATTTTAGTAATGTGTGGCGAAATCTTTAATTTTCTCTTCAGTTATGAAGAATTTATCTGTCATCTTCAAAATATCACTCCGACTACTTTTAAAGCTACAAGCTAAAGATATTCTGTTAAGTTTTTTAATCCAAATTCCTTTCGCTGCTCATCATTTGTAAACATAGGCTTTCATTATCATTTAAATTTTTAAAATATTCTTACATCCTTCTTTAAAGATTTGTTTTATTTTTTTAATTCCCTTTCCCTCTTAACTAATATATTAGAGCCATAGAAACAATTTCAATTATTCCGTGCAGTCAAAATGTTCAGAAAGTGACCCTGTTAGATCTGCTAGGTTGCCTCTCTTTCATGATATTGCATTATTTCTGTGCATCATGTGAATTTCATCTTCTTTTTTATTCCAGTTTGACTCAAACTTAGCCAATGTTCCTGGGACGAACCATGAGCGGGGTCGGTCCACTTCGTCACCAGCTCCTATGCGCAAAGTTTACTACTCATATTTTGAAAATCATGTTGATGATGCTGATAATTCAGATACAGATGATAAGTAAGTCATGTTTTAACCTTCTGTACAATTAAATCTCCAGGATAGTAACGATCAGGGAAAACATGAAAAAGTCCAGAAATTTCCAAAAACCTGGGCAGTCAAGGAATTTTGATATTTAAGTTCAATTGCCAACCTGATAACATAAAGTGCTTAAAAGAATATTTAAAGATAGTTCTAGGTGGCGGTAGCCACCCCGGCCCAATCCTAAAAAACTCCCCCTAAAAAATTGACCCTTCCCCCCCCCAAAAAAAAGTTGAAGATGGGTGGCTGCTGCCTAACTAGATATACACGGAGAATATAATTGTCTAAAAGAATGCTTAGAACTTAGTTCAGTATAAGGAGCAGAGATAGAACCTAGTAACAAGTAGTTAAATCAAGGTTAATCAGTGGTTTAATCAAGGGTAGTAGTTAGTAGTTAATCCTAGTAGTAGTTAATCAAGGTACGTTTAGCTGCTTGTCAAGCTGCTCAACAAGGTCCATTACAAACATGTAATCGGTTCCCCAAATTGCCTCGCAGATTGCACCGATTTTAATGAAGTTCGTCAAGCGGCTTGGCAGGCTGTATGAATGCACCTTAAGAAATCTCAGAAGAAACTATAATCAACAATTGGTTGACGATCCATTACACAAATTCCGAAAGGAAATTTATGAGCAAAGATAAAGACTCTCGGTCAAGTTTAGTATCAGGGTCCCAAGCCTCCAATGTTTACTGCGGAGCGTGGATTATGTAACAATGATTTTAGTGAGTATCACAAACTGTGTTGTACATTCACAGGGACCAGTACCTGTCCGAGGCGAAGCGCTTGAAGCACGGCGCAGATCGGGAGCAAGATGAAATAGCGCAAGTGATGCAGTACTTGGAAGCAGCTCTTATGTTCCTCCTCACTGGCCACGCGATGGAGCATGATAATTGCACGGAAAAGGCCGCCTATACCATGTATAAGGATACCTTAAATTTAATAAAGTAAGTACCATTCTTCATATCCTCATTCATGAAACTGATCTTTTATTCTTTTTTGTTTCTTGCAAAAGTTACTTTACAGTAATTTAATCGGTGATGAACGATTTTGGAAGAAGATTGCACAGTTTGATTATAATATGCACATTTGTGTGCTTATGGATGATTAGATTCACAGTTAATAATCATATCTATGCAAGTATTTCTTCAAAGAATCTTAAAATCTAATTCGTTTTTTATAATTTTGATTTGTAATCCATAAAGTTGATTAGCTCATCAATCATGACTTCATGGGCGAACTGGACTTTTGGTTCAATTTCATTGATGTGCTCGACCATATCGGTGAGTTGTCGGTCGATCATATCCACTATTAGGAGTGTATCATCTTCACATCTTTAATGATTTGAAATACGGGTTGGATTTATCTATGATATGTGATTTTTCGAACATGCAGAGATATAGATTAGTTAAGGCACTTAATTAGGGGTGTAACCCCCAACTGGCTATTTGTAAATTTTTATATCGGCTGAAGACGTCTCTGCATGTCAGCTGTCCAATAACTTCATTTTGCTGACACCAAGGTCAGGAATACAGGATCTGTAGTTGGATGAAATGTGTGCATGTGTGCACACTTTCTCTCTCAGTAGTGTAATCAAGGGAATCAAATTCCTTCGTTGAATTCAACACTCAGATTTGCTGAATGATCATAGAGCTATTGTATATTCTTTTTGCTCAACGATGACTGGTGTATGTCAGATTAAGCATTTTACAAAGCAAATTTGTTGAACTTGATCTTGTTGAGTTAAGGAGTTAATCAACACATCGCTTATCAGTTAATAGGCTCAAATTAGTGTTGTTCCCCCAAAGGAACTTTCAGTGGCCCATTCAGTTATATTGTCTCTGTCCTTGCTTAATTCTGTTTTTTCTAATGTTCATGCTCCCTGTTTTTTTTTTCCAGATTCATTTCCTCCAAATTTCACAAACTTAGTCAAGTAAGCTTACCACCACCAGGAGTTGTCCAATGTCGGCTGAATGTGATAAGGTAGGTGATCAATTAATATTATTTTATGTCGAAACAGTTTGGTTGTGTGAAATTTAAGCTCTTTATATCGCCAAAGTTTTGCTGTCTCCTCTAGTCTCATAAAAAAGTTCATCATTAAGTTTTTGGTGTTGAGTCGTCAAGCCACACTGTTCAAATTTTCAAACTTGTAATTTTCTTTCTAATTGTAATGGATTTTTTTTCTATCATAAAATACATCATAAGTCAAGTGTAACTGTAAGCCAAGGTAGAGAGTCAACAGAAAATTTTCCGTTGTAATTTTCACATTGAACTTTATTTGTGAAATCAAATTGGCAGATCCACAGTTACAGTCTCAAGTTGGTTAGGCCATCTGGGAAGACCTTCCAATCGCCCGGAAATTACTTGAAGGCACAAGGAACAATTTTCAGAAGAACTCTTTGTTTCAACATGTTTTAGGAGGGATAAGAGTGGCTTATGGAGACAAAAAAAAAATATTTGTTCTCAGGAATAGTGGGGGCTCTAATATCTTTTGCCTGAATTTTTCTCTAATTTGGTTTTGTAAAAATTTCAGTTTGAGGTGCCAGTCCTTACTCCATCTGAAACTGTATAATATGAGGAAGCACGAAGTCAAAGAAAGCTCTAAAGTCATTTCTGATTACTTAGCCAAGGTAAGTAAAGTAGCCGGAAAACATTTAATTTAAATTGTAAAAATCAATGAATGAAATTTATATCCCTATCGACAATGCATTTAATGATAAAGTTTCAATAGATACCAGATTCCGTGATGAAAAAATTATGATATTATAATGATTTTACCTTCATTCTTAGCAAAGGAAAAAATCTTTTATGAACATCATAAATTGACGAATTGAGTCCTACTTAAAGCAGGTCTAAACTTTAATTTACAGTTTTCAAAAATAATGCTTTTTGCTTAGTTGTCTGTAAGACACTCCTCCGTACTTCATCTGTCAACTCAATTTTTTAATTCTCAGCACTAAGGCCTTTAATGTAGACAATCACATGTACGCATTATTATTTTTATATTGTAAGCAAAATTCATTTTATTCAATGAACTTTTTGCAGCAAACGAACGGTCCAACCCAGTTGGAGGCATGCATGATGGGGAACGGAGGCCAAGGGACTCCGTCTCCTTTGTCACCAACTCCGTCACCAGCCAGCTCTGTCGGGTCACAGTCCTCAGGCTACAGTAGCGGCGAACTTCGCGCACCTGGCGTGGCGCCTCTTCCTGCGCCCTGCACCCCGATACCACTTTCTGTGCACACAGCTCTCCAGAAACACACGCACACCATGTCACTTGTTCAGTGCCATGATCTGTGGGAGCAGGCCGACATGCTCGTGTACAAGGGCAAGCACAGAGGTGAGAAATCCTAACACTTCTTTTTATTTGTTCATTATGTTTTAAAAAAGGTGGGAAAGGTTGAATTAGCGATCATTGAGTAGGTCACTTTTACAGTATACAGGGTGTCTTCAGCCTTGAAAAAGTTTTGAAGTGTCTAAGTAGCCATCATATTAATGATGCAAAATTTTTCATGTAACACGCATTTGTCTAAGCGGTCACCCTGAGAATCAAGCAACAAGTAACTCATAACTCATAAGTAACTACATAATCAGGAATAGGACTCTGTACTAAAATCGGAAGTGAAAAAGGAGCAGAAGGCAAAATAACATGACAAAACAGAAAAAGAAGCCAAAAAATAAATTCTTACCTCTGGTTGAAGCCTGTTCCTGAAGACGATCTCAACACTCTACATTTATTCGCCAATTTCAAATCGGTTGAAGTTCTCCATTAAAAAACTTACATCCAAGCTTATTTTCGGGGTGTATGATTTGATCACTTGATCTACATTTTCAAATTCGGAACCACAATTTCTGCCTCTGTTTAAAAACAACATTTGCACCATTATTTTCCCTATGTGTAATGTATATAAGTGTTTTCATGAATGAGCCAGAAATTTTAGTCCCTAATGCTAAATGAAATCTAATTCTTCTATTCTGTTTTATCCACATGTCATGTCACCGTTTGCTGCCAATCATTCGGGTCAATTTCAGCACTCAAGGCCAAAAATTAAGTATTATCTCAAGAGTAAAAGAATTATAATTTAATTTTCTTCTTTTTCCAGACTTCTTCATCGAGCTTGACCAGTATTGTGGACCACTCACTCTTCACAGCTCTCTAAACGATTTGGTGAAGTACGTCCGCATCGGAATCCAACGGCTGAAATCTCTGTGAGTCCAGCAATGGCCGGCAATTTACCAGGAAGTGTCCAACACTCTCCCTGCTCCGAGACTGTGTTACAAAAAATTCAAATGGCTGTGCAATTTAGTGTTAACAAATACCTAATTTCCTCTTAGTGTTTCTTTTTTCTTTTTTTCTTTCTAAGGTGCATTTCGGTAGGCATTATTGTTTTCCCTCTTTTTCATAACATTGGAATCGTTTGTTTTCTTGGAGTTTAACTCAGAATCATTCGGCACCAAGTGTTGGGTCCAACTGAAACTTTGAGTTGTCTCGTGTCAGGTAGAATTTGAGGATGGTTCAGAATGGATCAGCCGAGGGTCACAAATCCTCTGAGGTTTCCAATCAAAAATTTGAAGCAACTCGTCAAATCTTTTGTCAAGGCGTCCCTTGAATGATTCAACAGCTGTTTTTGATACTCCCATTAGGTTTATATTAAACTAATTTTTCATCGTACCTTAAAATTTAGCAGTGTGCATCAATTTATTGGCTAATTAATTTTCGCCAACAACAAGAGTCCTTTCAGTTTAGATTTTAAAAAAATACCATGCTTTACTTAGAATCATCGGCGCAATAGAAAAAATGATTACTACCTTTATCAATCTCTCACTAGTGCTTCAATTTGAAACTCCACCAATTTTTTTAATCTTTAAGCCTTTTGCTTATTTTTTTAATCTTCATTCAGTGGTCAAAAATGTTGAATACATGAACATATTCCCTGTAATTAAATCCTAGGGCCTCGGTAATCATCATTCGGGGTCTCATCATTTTTCAATCAGTTTATTTTACATTTCTTGTCAGTAAACATTTAATAATCTGATGGCAAACAATTCTTTTGCTTACACATAAATGCTATGTACAGAAGATAAGTTGTATTTTTTTAAACTTAACTATCCTTAAATATTTTGATTGTCCGTTCAAACAGAAATCTCTCTGTGTCAACCAGAAATCTATGATAAGAATTATTTAAAACTTTACCCTTCTTTCCAATTTTTCAGTTTTGGCACCCCTTAATATTTTTTTTAGTTTCCCTTGTTGTTAAAATTAGTGCATACCAGAATGGAGTCAGTCTCCTTCGTGTTGCAATAATAATCATTGGAACCCTCCAAATCAATGAACTTATGTATTATACAGTGTTCATAATTTTTCAAAAAGAACCAAATTAGTGGAAGCCGTGTAAAATTTTACAAGCTGGACTGGTTTTATTTTTATTTTTTTCATTTGTTGATATACTAACTACGCTCCTTTTTTCTTTGTTACAATAATTCGGTTTCTAATTTTTCCCATTGATCGAGCCTTTAGAAAGTGTCTTTTCAGTGTCATTTTTATAAACGTATGTATGTATCATTTTTCCTTTTGTTCGTTTGTTTGTTTGTTTCTCTGGTTATTCAAGAATTCAGACTGATGCCTCCCTGAATTCGTTCAAAAATCAATCAATCACTTTCCACCATCGCAAATTTAAAACTCATTAACGAGGGATTTTCTGGAGGTCATTTTTGTAATTTCCCGTCACCAATGACACTGATACTGTTAAATATGAAGAAGATCTTGTGAATGATTTTATTCATTTAAAATTGAGTGCAAAACAACAAAATGTGGGATTTGAAATGACAAACACAAAATTATCGCAATTTGCTCTTTGAATCTATTGTTATTGAGTCCTTGCTCTGTTGATGATGCTGTTATCAATTTCCTAGAATTAAAGTCAAAACTTTTTGTGCTATTTTACCAAACAGTAATATACTACCTAAACACACCTATATTACACTTCATAAAAATGCCCTGCATGATTTTAGCTTCAAGTTAAATCATTTCACTACAATACAATTTTTCCAGTCACTACAATGAAATAGATTTCAATATCCCAAACGGCAAAATTTTAAATGTACTGTTCAAGTGTTTTCGAAAATTTGTCTTGATTTTTCAAGGCTCTGTTACAAAATATTTGAAGATCCTCAAAATTACCATATCTTCAAATTTCTTTGAAAGTTACATGAAGTTTTGCAGCAATCTCACATTGCAGGGTTTTGTAAGGGAATCATAGTTGGTTTTATTACAAGGGTCTCAAGATTTTGTCTATCGTTGCAGATTAGTTCAAATATTTTGATAAATACTCAGTAGTTAGCATTTTTACAAAACCTCTTGACCCTTCCCAAGGCCCCACCAAAGTTTACATCAATCAGGTTGGTTCACTCATAGTGTAAGACGGAAGAGGTCTCATCTTAATTCTTGAATTTAGTTGCAACACAAGTAAAAATGGCAGACTGTCTGAAAGTTGGCCCACCAATTTGATTTGATTTGAACTCCAAATTTTGCTTTTCTTTATTCTCAAGCTGCAATGTTTTTCCCTTTTTCTCATGCGTATCGCTGTTTTTAATAATTTTTTTTTAAGAAAAGCAGAGCTCTACTCCCCAGAAACGCAGGCACATTTTTTTTTTTTTTTAAATTTTCCCTATTTTAAAAGTGACTTGTTGTCATTAGCAGGCACAGTGTAGTATACTGCTAAATTTTTTAGTTATTTTATTTCCAATTTAGTTTCTTCGTTAGGACTGACTTTTTAGTTGAATTGTCACATCGATTTTTTGCTACTTATTCTTTGTTACATTTACTTTTGATTTTTCTGTTACTCTTAGCGTATACGAAAATTTTAGTTTCTCAACCCCCTGTCTTCTTTCTGATTCTCTAGTATTTTTGTTTTTTTTTTCCTATTAAGTTTTTCCCTCTTTTGTTGTTTCCAAATTTCGATTTGAAACTATTGAAAATATCTGAACCAGCTTCTCCTAATCGTCACTTATACAACTTGATAAAAAAGAAGAAAAATCATTTTCTTTGAACATTTTAAGAAAAAATAAACCCTGTTCAAACCTGTTATATTAGTAAGTAGATTCCAATCACTGTTTGATAGAACTATATCAAGTCCGCACTTGTTTTTACTGAACGAAAATCAACTCTAACAAATCTAAATGTCTTTAAAGAGAACGAGCCGTTTCTTTTCTTTCAACCTAAAAATACAACTGTGTCACTGTATTGTTTTTGAAAGCAGAAGTATCTCAGTTCAAGATTAATAGCCAAAAGTAGTTGAACTTTTCGTTAAAAATAATAAAAAAAAAAAAACTCGGACTCCTGTAATTAGATACTTTTTGCCCCTGAAACAACAAGAATCCCTGCAACCCTGCAAAGAACAGCATTTTAAAATATCATTTGTTTAATTTTGTTTCGTTCTTAGCAATAATCCTGTACAATAAACCAAATGGCCGTCAAGCGTATTATCACTGAATTTTAAGTTCTATAAAATTAGCACTGCATCACTGCATTTTATTGTTTTTGCTGTTGTTTCTGCTCTTTGCCTTATGTCATGTGTTGTACGCTGCTTTTTATGGGTCTAAGAATGGTTGGTCTGAATGAATTGTCTCCAGCCTCCCCATCAATCGTTTTTTTTTTTTTTCATCTCTGTGAAACCCACCAACTTTCGTAATAAATACTCAGTGCAATTTTAAGACTATCGCATGAAATCGTGAATTGATGTAAAGAAGTCTTTCAACTCCCTCGTCTGGATGCATCGCTCATGAAAATATTGAGTCCTGTGAAACACATTCTAAAGCAAGTAAAATTCCACATCAGCAATAGTTCTGACTAACCATTCTGCTCCAAAAGAACTGTTCCCTAGTTAGTGCCTCTATACGTACAAACTATTCTTCCATAGAATCGGTGGTACAAATAACCCTGCATTGTCGAAAATAGTGTATTTTCTTATGTTTTCTTCAATTATGTCGTCTTCTGAAAATTACATTATTTTCCTCAGTTTCATTGGCGTCACAGGATTTAGTTCTATTGTTCTAATTAATTTAATTTAAACGTTTTTCTCTACCTGGGAATTAGCTTGATTCTTTGGACCATGTGTCAGAAAAAATACTGGCCAAGTGTATCACTTTTTAAATCATGCTTGTCTTTCATCTTATTCCTCATGCTTGAAAAATACGTAAATGATTTTTTCCTGTGCCCATGAGAAGAATTCAATATGTCTGCATCGTAATCAAGTTTCAAGGTTCCAACTCTTGTTCATTAGGAGTCCAAGCTGAATTTTCACTTTTTTGTGGAATTTAAGTTGGTTTAAACTTACAGCCAACTGCCTAAATTGAACTTACATGAAATAAAATGTAACTGAATTAAAAATATCCAGGCTTAAAATGATCCATAGTAGTTTGTCAGATGAGTATGCAAGACTTAGGTATGGTTATAGATGCTGTCTTTTCATTGTGTGCCCCTTCAGGAAGCAGTGGAAGTTTTTCCGTGGTTACTTTGAGGCCTTTCAATCAGATTCCAGCAAGAGCGTGGCCTGACTGATCTCTTGAATTATATCGGAATATGTTGAAAGGGAAGCACTTTTGAATTCTTACTCTTATTGGTCATAAATTTCATAGTTACGAATGCATCTGTTAGGTTTCTTGACTTTCCCAAAAATTGATGCAATTTTTCACTTTATCTTGTTTTATCTATTTCTTTATTTTGTCTTATCTCAATTACCATGTAGACAATTCTTTGTTTTAGGGCATAATTAAAAATTTGTAAATTTTAGTTTGTTTATTGTAAGAATTGATGATTGTACATTTGTAAGTACTTTACTATTAAGCCTGGTGTGCTGAAGGTTGTCTAGAGAAAATCAACCTGTCTTAATTCCATAGGTCATGTATATATTAGTTAGTCGATATTCTAATATTTTATACTCTTTTTTATGAAGCCCTTCCACTATCGTACAAACTGACTTAGAGGAGAGGGATTCTAAAAAGTGGAAACATTTGACCTCAGAATGTTTAAAGTAAGTCAAAAATACTTTGAAAGGGAGATTTTAAGACAGGTAGTTAACAGTAGTTATTTTTTATTGTTTTTCATAATTCATTACTATCCAAATTATCGACCCTGATAACTAGTAGTTTTAGCATTATTTGTAATTTGTGAAGTGCATATATATCTGTAAGTTCTATTGTAGCCCAAAGGAACTGCAAGTGTGCTTCAGTTCTCCAAGTCCGAGACCATATCGGAGATTAGTTTCCTCGGAACTATGCAATTATGTTTGGTGAAAAATCACTTATATTGTGTTATTTTTTAACAAAATAAAATCGACAAGTGTTGTATTGAATTATTCTTCTTCTTATTTCTTTGGCTAGAGAATAAGCCCTATCTAACCAGCTATTTTTATATCAGGAATGTGTAAAAGGAACAGGATATTTGTGCGTGAATAACGAATTTTGGAAATTTTGTGAATTTCATCACCCTAGGGCACTAAAGAATTACTGAAATTTCTCAAAAAGGAGGCTCTGAATTTTTTGGGAAAGCACTGAAAAAATGTTGTGAAAGTACTGACTTTTTGCAGCCAGATCCTAAGTAGCACTGTGCAATGAAATTTGGAAATAAAATTGCGATTTATCGCAATAAACTTGAAATTTTTTGACCATGAAATTGCAATATTTTTATATCATTTGGTCCATGAATGCCGAATTTGAATAATCAACAGAGTTGAGTTCCTTGTGTCAGGAAGCTGAGCAATATGCAATGCAATGAAAAATTGCGACTCATTTCAATTTCATTGCAATAAATTTCAATTAGCTGTGTTCCTTCAATCAGTAAATAGGCAACATACACAACACTCCAATGCTGTAGCAATAGTTTTACCTTATAATTGCAGTTTTTGCTACTTGGGTATAGTTGCCACTTCGTAGGTAGAATTTAGCATGATTTTAATGACAGAAGTTAAGAATGCCTTCATAATGTTTTGTTGTTAGCCAGTCATTGAAAATTTTATGGTTGAAAAATTACTCACGCGTTAGACTCACACCTCAAAAACAATGAATTGGCTTACATAGAGAGGAGGAGCACCCTGCTAGTGATTTTGCACACCAGTAGATCTTACCGTGAGCACTGAGTGAATTGTAAAGAGAGTCAGCGCGCTGTCAGTCATTAATTTACCTACAATTATTTTCAATTCAATTGCAATACAGAGACGTGTAAGCGGAATTTTTGGCAATGCTTGCAGAGGTATAGAAAACAATGTGGTTGTTCTTTTCGGAGAGATGGTACTATCTGAAATCTGTTTATTTTGTGCCCTGAACATAGCAGACTAGAATTATAGCTCTCCTTCAAAACTAGATTTTTTACGGATTAGGGATTTCGGTTACCAACTCAATTTTTGTGCGAAGCCGAAAATCAAAACTGGTCACGTAAAAGTGCAGAGAAATGAGAGAACGAGCATGGAGTGAGGATTCCTCTTCCGCAAGAAACGTAGCATTGGAGGAGAGCTACAATTCTGACCCGTCATGTTTAAATCACGAATTTTCCTGATTATAAACTACTCAATGCAGATTTTTACTCTCCTCCTTATGGGAAAACTAATTGCCCCGGTCATAACTTATTGTTCAGGATTAAGGAGAGAATCTCAAAATCTGATTTTTCAACCCAATCCTGCAAAAATCGCCCCACCAAAAAATTCGTTTCCGTCAACCAAGGTCCCTTCTCCAGTTGACGGCCACATTTTGATGGCTAAATCGAAAAATGCGTTTTTCAGTTTGCGACGATAAGTCTCCGATCATTTTTATTTTTTGAATGAAAACCAACTAACAGTCTCATCATCATGTATTTTGAATAAATCATAGAAAACTTCAAGAAAACATTTTGATTAGCAGGGCCGGATTTACTCACTTGCCGCCCATGGGCCCCCTGTATTTTGCCGCCCCCTTCTCATTCGTTTTGAAACATCAATAAAAACCATCAAGTAAACGTGCCGGAGGGGGAGAGGCGTATAAGACGCGTTTACTCCTGTTGGTCACATTTCTTGTGAAAGCTCTGTCAACACTACTAGCAAAAGTTCACGGAACTTGGCGCGAAAGTTAAGTTCCGTAAACCTATCTCTGTATGGACAATGCCCTCCATTTGGACGTATTTCTGTCAAATGGAACTATGTGCATTGTGACATGAGCCCTGTTATGCATGTATTCTTATGGGTCTCAGGGCTCAAGTCTCAATGCACATAGTTCCGTTTGACAGAAATACGTCCATTTATAAGAAATGAACCATAAAATTATGAGAGAAAAAACACAAATGTGGTTTAATAATTTTAACTTCTGCCGCCGCGCCGCGATGACCGCACTGTGTTTGGTGCAATGCGTGAAGTATTCCTACAGTCTTACATGCGCTATGCGTTTCGGGCCGACCGCTGCCCGCTGCTGCACGCACTGTCTTTGGCGCAATGCGTGAAGTATTCATGCAGTCTTGTAGGCGCTAACGTGTGTTACATGCCGACCGTCGCGCCGAGGGTTTCTCCTTTTCATCTCACGTTCTCGTCATCATTGCTCTCTGCGCTCTCTGTGTTCGGTTTCTCTCTTAGTCTTAATCCGACTAATTAAAGGTGCTGTCTATTATATCACAGAAGGACGAAAAAATTAGAGATATACTCTCAGGAAATGAGAGATTTTGTCACCTTTTCTCGTTCATAATTTTTTTGTCTGAATCTGATGTTTCTTTATGGCTACATTGAAAAAAATTGCAAAATTTGCCGCCCCCTAAATCTGCCGCCATGGGCCGCGGCCCATGTGGCCACCCCCTTAATCCGGCCCTCTGATTAGTAATCCTGTCAGAGAATAAAATATAATCGGAGGTTTCTTTAACGTTAAAATTGAGATTCGTCTTTCCATAGATGCATGCCGAGTGGAAATTCTTCATTTGAGTATCAACTTCATACATTTTCTCTGCCGATTAATTTTTCCGGCTATCGATGAGAGATATTTCTTAGCTGAGCCCGCTCTCCCTAAATCAGGAAGTCTACAGTTCTGGAAAACCCGGAGATTACTGGGTTTTTTTTAGGGTGGCTCGGAAGCACTTATAATGCGTGTTTTTCAAAGACAGCCTGGAATTCGCGCATTGATTCTTAGTGCAGTACTTACCCACTAAATTGCGATTAATTGTGCAGCTAGTTGATCTTCAATTTGATGAAATCGCGATTACGATTCTCTAGAAAATTGGAAGAAAAAAATTCACAAATTTCTCCAAGGGAGTGTCGATCTTCATGTCTACATTTTTGTCACGATTCGTGCGTCTCTCGAATTTTCGAAATGTTTTAATTTTGCCATTTGAAGGTACTGAAGGATGAGGAGGCACTGAATTTTTTGGGATAGATCTGGAAAATTACTGTAAACGTACTGATGTTTTGCCAGTTAGTTTCCGCATAGGCACCCTGATACCATTCACTTGAGGTTTTCCTTCAATCTCACCGCATAGGCAATAAGCCTACCGCGAGGAGTTTAACGCAGAACGTTCATTTATCTCGCTCTATAAGGTTTGACCGAAATAATGAACCCATGTGTGCTTGATCTCTCATTATTAGTAGGCAGGTACTGTCCACCTAAGCGTTCGCCTTCAATTTTGCAGCATAGGCATCAAGCTTAACAGGAAGTTCGAATAGTTGTAATCAGAGAACAACCATTTATCTCTCTCGGTATGCTTTGATTCCTGAGTCGATGAGTGATGTGTGATTTTCTCGATAAATACCGTTCACTTGTTGTTCGCCTTCAATTTCACCGCTTAGGCAACAAACCTACCAGGGAGCTACAACGCAGAATGTTCACTTATCTCGCTCAATAAGTTTTGGTTGAGGCAATGAGCCCATTTGTGAATGATTCTCTCATCCTTGGTAGATATTGTCCACCTGAGAATTCGCCTTCAATTTTCCGCATAGGAATGGAAACCTACTAGGGAGCTCGAATAGTTACAAGTCTATTCCAAGAGAGCACATCGACGGTGAAACTACCAAACCACGTATCTCGTTTGCGGTGTTTAAAAATCTACGCTCGCATTTTATTTTTTTGAAGTCGACCAAATCAATATCATTCCTTGAAATTTTCACAGAATTTTCTCCGCACAAAGAGGAAAAATCACAGAAATTTTCAGGACTAGACGTTAAGTTGTTTTTAATTTAAAAAATAAAGTATGACAAGAAGTCTGCGACGTCGCAAACCGAGATACGTGGTTTGGTAGTTTCACCGTCGACATTCATCTCACATAATAAGCTTTAATTAAGTGAACAAACAGTATGCCATACTCTCTGCATATCAGTAAACTGGCCACTTGGGATTCGCCTTCAATTTGCCGTAAAGGCAGCAAACCTACCAGAGAGCATAAATAGTTGAATTCAAAAAGCATTCATTCCACCGTGCTAAGGAAAAACGTCGTATGAACATTCGAGAGTTGCCAAATCTCCTTCGATGAAATGTGTATTTTTAAGGAGATTTATGAACATTTTTCCTTTTAGGTGAAATTGCGAACAAAATAATCTGAAAACCTGGAGGAAAAATAATCATAAGTTTTCTAAAAAATGTGTAATTAATCAAAGGAATTTCGGAAAAGGTTCATACGGCGTTTTTCCTTAGCGCGGCAAAGAATATGAAGTATGCAAAACGATTATTCGGGTATCGGAACTTGGCTGTTTTGAAAACGCTTTCAATTGCGGCGTGATACCTCACGCATTCCGGAGAGTTCAAAAAGTTGAATCATTGCGCCTTAGAAATGCGACGGAAGATTACAATTGAAATAGCCTGTATGCATGCTGGCCTTTTCGATTCCCATTAACATTTTTGTAGTCGTGAAACCATCGCTTAAGTGCACTCCAGCTAGAATTGTATATAACAAGTGGATGGTTTTTATACGAGGATTAAAAATAAACAAGTGGTACGGAATATAACAAAAGAATATGAAGTATGCAAAACGATTATCCGGGTATCGGAACTTGGCTGTTTTGAAAACGCCTTCAAATGCGGCGTGATACCTCACACATTCCGGAGAGTTCAAATAATTGTATCATTGTGCCGTAAGAGTGTGACGGAAGATTAAAGTGGATATAGCCTCCATGCACGCTGGGCTTGTCGATTTCCTTCGAAATTTTTGCAGTCGTGAATGCATAGCTGAAGTGCGCTCCAGCTAATATTGTATTTAGCAAATGGATGCTTTTTATACGAGGATTGAAAATAAACAAGTGATACGGAATAAAACATAGTAATAGCAACTTTGCAAAACGATAAACCGGGTATCGGAACTTGGCTGTTTTGAAAACGCCTTCAAATGCGGCGTGATACCTCACGCATTCCGGAGAGT